AAGATACGCCTCCTTCCAGGTTTGATTCAGCAAGAATTGATTTTCCAGAATGTCATCGCTGAAGGATCTTTACTTACGGGGCATTTGCAATGTCTAGCGTCCTCTCCGTGTAGTTGGGCCTCAGACCCTTCCAGTGGTTTCCTTATTTTCATCCCTAATCAGCCTCCAGTTCCTAATTACTTTTAACCAGTTTCTGCTTGAGAACTATAAGTATATTTCTTGGTCTCTTTTCCCACTGTCTCGCCCTAGGAATGGGGAAAGGACTCCTTTCTTTCTTCTGCCTTTGAAGACCTCTTGGATGATTTTTTTTGATGCCTTGATGCTAGAGAGACCCAAACGCATGGGTGCAGGGATGTCCTTTGGGACGATAAAGACATAAAAAGAAGTGGGGAAAGGTATAGCTCAAGTGGTAGAGCGAATGGTTAGCATGCACAAGGTCCTGGATTCAACCCCCAGGACCTCCTCTAAAAAATAAATAAGTAAACCTAATTTACTACCCTCCAAAAAGACATAAAAAGAGGAAAAACATCTCTGTATGACCATGAAATAATCAAAGCCGATTGAGCAGTGAACTCACACGTAAAAAAGGTGACCTGGTTTACATTAGGTGTCAATGTCAAGTGACTGTAGGAATTTGGAGGGGCAGAGCTCTAGGACCATAGAGAAGTAGTGGGAAAATATCATCGCACACGGGTGATCTTTAGCAAGTGTTCTTTGCAAAACAGACAGTCACAACAAAAGGAAAAGTAGCCAGGAGCAGTACCACTGGTCATGACCCCACCAGGGACCTAATGCCCCAGGGTGAGCAGGTGCAGAGGGGCTCTAACCTCAGGGCTCCCAGAGGGTCTCACCTTCCACCAGGCTTCTCCCGGGCCAGCGTCTGGACACCTGAGTGGGTCATTCATGAGGAGGACCTGCACTTACTGTCCAACTCAGCAATCCCACTCCTGGGTATTACCCTGGAGAAATGAAAACTTATGTCTGCATAAAAATCTGCATGTGTATAAACACACCACTGCTTCTTTATCCAGTCATCTGTCTATGGACATTTAGGTTGTTTCCACATCTTGGCTATTGTAAATAGTGCTGCTGTGAACATTGGGGTATATTATTATATTTAGTTGTGGTCTATGTATACAGTGGAATACTACTCAGCCATAAAAAAGAATAAAATAATGCTATTTGCAGCAACATGGATGGACCTGGAGATCATCATTCTAAGTTAAGTAAGCCAGAAAGAGAAAAAAAAATACCATATGATAGCACTCATATGTGGAATGTAAAAAAAAGTTGAAAGGACACAAATGAACTTTCTTACAAAACAGAAACAGACTCATAGACATAGAAAACAAACTATAGTTACCAGAAGGGGAAAGGGGTGGGGAGGGATAAATTGGGAGTTTGAGATTTGCAGATACTAACTACTATATATAAAATAGATAAACAGAAACGTCCTACATATATATATGTAGCACAGGGAACTATATCCAATATTCCTGTAGTAACCTATAGTGAAAGAGAATATGAAAAGGAATATATGTATGTATACGGATGACTGAAACATGATGGCCGTGAACCAGAAATTGATACAACATTGTAAACTGACTATACTTCAATTAAAAAAAAAGAATTTATTTAAGAAAAATCCTCACATGAATGTTTATAGCCACTTTATTCAGAATTAACCTAAACTGGAAGCATCTCAGATGTCGTCCAAGGGTGAACAGCTGAAGCAGGCCCCTGACTGCAGGCTGGTGCCCGGCCGGGGAGGCAGCTGGCCATGGCCATTTGGAACAAACTCGGGGTGTAGATTAGCTATTATTACATTACGAGCCACACCAAAATGAGAGGCTGAAAACAGTAACAATGGTGTCTTCTGCTCCAGAGTCTGCCGTCTTGGCGGGTCTTGGTGAAAACAGCTTGTCTCTGCTGCCGCACATGATGTCAGTGGCTTGCCGGAGGCGGAGGTTTGACTTCCAAGACGGCTCATTGGCCCAATGGCTGGCAGCTTGGTGCTGGCTGTCCATTCCTCCCCACATGGCCTCTCCTTGGGGCTGCTTGGGCTTCCTCATGGCATGGTGGCTGGGTTCCAAGAGCAGCTGTCCCAAGAGTTGGGCAGTGGATGCTCCCAGCTTCTCAAGGCTGGGATCCAGAAACTGGCCCTGCATCATTCCAGCACTTTCTGTTGCAAGCAGTCAAGGAGCCCAGATTCAGGGGAGGTGACGCAGACCCCCACCTCTCGATGAAAGGAGTGTCACCTTTGAGAGCCATATTAAAAAAACCCATCATGCTTACCATTTACCCTCAGCCCTACTTGAGACCCCAGCGCCACTGAGACACGCACTGAATGTCTGCGATAATGATGTGCAGCCTCACCGGGCACCATCTACCTGCATTGGGCGAGACTGTGCCTTCCCTCTTCCCTCTGCCTCCACCTCTCACTGCCCTCGGAGGCCCAGACCCAGCCCTGGCCCCCACTTCTTGTGGGATTCTAACATGAGCGGGGGTTGGGAACCTCAAAGCATCAATAGTGAAGTTTACAAAATGTACAACATCCTGGAAGGCACTGTTGTATCTTTGTTTTCCTTTTCCTAAGCTAGATTTACTGACTTGTTTGAGCGTAGTAGGGACTGCAATAGATATTTTTCGAGTGATGTAGAAGTCTTTCCTGTTTTGACAGGGGTGGGGTTGGTGGAAGAGTGCAGGAGGGAACCAGGAGGGACACGGGTGTGCCAGTAGCAAGCAATGTAGGGCCCTTACATGAATGAGTAAGAGGAACACATTCACACTGAGCTTTGGGTGGCTAGCGATGATTCTGCATGTCTCTCTTCCTAGAGGAACTGTGTTTTAGACGCATTTACTTAACCAGAGTTGCATGCACTCCAAACAAATTAATCCCTAAAATTTGAGACCTCAAGGATTCAGCTATGTTCCTGGCTGGTATGGTTGACTGGTACTGTGTCTGATCACACAGATGATTTGCCCAGAGCCTCATTGTGTCCTGTGAGACAAACGTGGTGCCCTTTGGGGTGAATTTGGGCAGAGACCTCAAGTTTGAGATAATCTGATTGAAACCTTAAATTCAAAGTTATGAATTGGGAGTTTTTCTAGTACTTTTTGGCACACCATCCCAACCCCAAATTTGTCTGAGTCTTTCATATTTATCCCTGGAATCCTCTCTTTTTTTTTTTTCCTGCTGTCAGTGAACCTATCCTTGATAGAAGAAATTAAATCATACTAAAGTATTAATGGCTACCAGGAGCTTGGTTTGTTGCCCTTCCCAGGGAGATACTTGCAGACTCAAAGGTGATACGAGATAGGGTATTGTCAAAGGAATGAATTTCTAATGCTGAAATTTACTTAGGAAGGAGACCAAGAATGGGAAGATTTTTGAGGGAGTCCCCAGACACTCAAACCTTAATAGAGAGAAAGACCAGTGAGTGACTGGGAAAGTCTCTGGGTTACTTCCAGTTCTGTTTCGGCAGTGACAGTACTCATCTCACCAGGTTACCTGTTCCCCAGTGCTTAGGGTCCTCCCTGTCCATTTCTCTCCTGCTTTGCCCCAGTGATGCCAGCCGGCTTACTTTTTAGCAGTTGAGTGTGCAGCCTCTGTACATATCAGCTATTATATCTGCAGAACTGCAGAGTATTTTACGAGTAATCAGTTCATGCAGATTGCACATAAATCATGTCTGTACTGGCCCTTTGGACACTAATGTTCTCCTTATTAAGGCATAAGTAAACCTTCCTGTTCTCATCCATCCTTCCAGACTCTTTTTAATTACTGAAAAGAATAGCCTGGCTGTCCCTGCACCAGCTTCTTCCACGCCCCTCCCTCCACAGCCTCATGGCTTTTGTGAGGTTCCTCTAGTTTTTTCTGGAACTCGCCAAATTGCCGTAGGAAGCTGGGTACCTTGTGAATGGATCAAGCGGGAGGAAATTCTTATCTTGAAAAGGAAGTGGCCACCACGTTTCTGTTGGTGATATTCTTGGCTAGTTAATATTTTGTGAAATATGTCCCGATAACAGCACAGGGGCCCCGGAGAGGGGAGAGATATTGATCATGCTGAGTGCTCAAAAGGCAGCTCTCTCCCACTGAAGTCTGGGGAGAGGCTAAGACGGCATTTCATGAATGTCACTCTGCCTAAATAAACAGAGAACCCTCGTTGTCTTCAATCCCCTGAAGACTGGATGCCCAGCCTGCCCTCGTGTGCACGTTCTTTTCACATTTCTCCATTTTCTTCCAAAACCGTAGCCACAGATCTGTGCTCTGATACACGTGGGTTTCTGCTTCCAGTGTCTTCGGCCCTGCTCTTAGCATTCATCCAGTCTTCATGGGTCTGGAACGACCCTCCCTGAGGATTGGACGCGTACCCTGTCCCTGCAAACCTTTGGTCTAAAAAAGAATACACAGGGACTTTTAGACCAGGCCCATAAAAATACCGCCATCTGCTTTTAGAAATGGCTGGGGAATGTAAATTCCTGTCTAAATGATTCCTGTCCAGGGTAGACAGGACTTGGGAGTTTGGAAATTGTAACAACAACTCATTATCTTCTCTTAGCAACCACAGCCAAGTGACACATCTCGTTTTTTTTTCTTTTTTCAGATGGGCTGACAACATAATGCCCCATTATTGCTTTTTAAATCCTATTTTTTAATACTGTATATGGGTTCTAGTGGAACCGAGGCTCTCTGAGGTATTATTTTCCCCAGATAAGGGAAAAGATGATATAAAACAGGTATGTTTCTGGTGTCATTTCAAAATCACAGGCTGGCTGGTAATGGTATCTTATCAGTGAGCGGAGCCAGCCTGAGTACTGAGCATCTATCCCCTGGTGTTCAGGCCGCAGGCTAAATTGTACTCTCTGTTTCAGGAAGGCTGAGGTCCTTCATGGGTTCTTCAGGGAAATGATGGGGGTCTTTTCTACGACGGTGTTTAAAAACATCACCTCAGGAGAAAAAAAATCATCCCCCTCTTTTTTTTTTTTTTTGCTGACAGCTGCTGAAATGGGTTGCGGATTGAACAAGTTGGAGAAACGTGATGACAAACGGCCTGGAAACATCTATTCGACGTTGAAGAGGCCTCAGGTGGAAACCAAGGTGGACGTGTCCTATGAATACCGCTTCCTGGACTTCACGACCTTAAGTGCCAGTGAGGATGGGGCTCAGCACCGGGCCGGGCGGGGACGCGGCTCAGCTCAGTGGTGGGAGCTGCTGGGGGAGGGAACTAAAGGGCTGTCTAGAAGGCACTGCTTACAGAAATAAAAATACAGATTTTTAGGTGACATCTTTCACTTTTTGAATGCTAGCAATCCATTTAAGTGGTTACAAATTTAAAAGCATGTGTGAGCCTAATAGCACAAGTGGGTGGGTTGAGTTTGGCCCATGGGCCGACTCATTTGCAGACTCTGCGTCCTGGAAGCCACGTGGGGATGGACAGTCGGCCCATCACCTCATATGAGCCGCCCGTCCCCCCCAGACCCCCCTACCCCTTGTCCGCCGGTGTCTTTCCAGACTGTTCGTCCATTGGGCTTCGCTGTGCCTTGCCCCGGCGTCCCAGTGGCCCCGGGGTGACTGGCGAGTGCGGGTCAGTGTTTTCATCCCGAGCATTTGCTGAGCACCGACTGTGTGCAGAGAGTTGGGAGGTGTCGTGGGGAAATCAGGTAGCAGGTCCTGGTTTACATAAACTTCCTACCCAGCCGGAGAGGAGACTGACACACGGAAAAGCCCAACGGGGAATAATTGCAAGTGGGAACCACAGAAACTAGGTTTTCGGATGGCCTGCAGTGTCCTCTCCATCTATGTGTGTGGGAAACAAGATTGAAAGGAAATACAGCAGAATGTTAAATGCTGATTGTCAGGTGCTGAGATTATGGGGGAATTCTTTTTCTTTTTTTCATTTTTTTTTTTTGCACTGTGGTTACATTTCTTTTATTACTGAGAAGAGAACTTTTAGCTTTTTTTAAGAGTTAACTTCCAGGAGCACGTGCCCTCCTGCCACCCTCTGCTTCGTCCCTCCTCTCTGAACTGTTCCCCTGGCCTTCTTCCTTGTTTCTCTGCTGCCTTGTGTACCCACACTGCTTTCTTTGATTGAATTACCTGTTGTTTTCTGACTACGAAGTAGACATAGGTCCATCAAAACAAGTTAGGAAAACCCTGGAAAAACTCCAGCTGGTCTCCCAGCTCCTCTCCAGGTCCCGTCCCTCTTCTGCTCAGAGCCCTGCTGGGGCTCCCCCACCCCAAAGGGCACCAGCCTCCCTCTGCCTCATCCTCCTGCTGTTTGTCCTGTGTATTCTGCCTGTTTCCCACAGCCCCTCAGGGCCTTTGCACTGGCTGTCCCCTCTGCCTGGAAGTCCTCCCAGATAGACCCTTGGTTCAAATCCTTATCCCCCTTCTCTCTGAAACCTCCTGACCTCCTACCTGTTGAACATTTCTAGCTTCCCCCAACTCCCCAGCCCTTTCCCCTCTGGATTTTCTCTGTAGCACTTCCTGCTGTCAACGTGCTATTTACTTTGCTTATTGTTACTCATTTCCTTGTTTATTGTCTGTCTTCCTTCATTAGAAGGTAGACTCCCTTCTGATGAGTGCGGGATTGTCTCTTTTATCCTCTGCTGTGTCTTCAGTGCTGGAAACAGTGCCTGACACACAGTAGATAATCACTAAATACTTGCTGAATGAGTCCTTGACTTACATTTTTATATCCTACTTTTTTGCAACTTAACATCCTATAGTGAGGCACACACCCTGGCGTTCCAGATGTTTCCCAAAACATGATTTAATGCCTACATACGCTTTAATCACTCAGGGTGCTGTAATTTATTCAGGGTCCCCTTTCATTGGACATGTGAGTTGTTGCAGGCTTTGGGCTGTTATAAATAATACTGTGATATCCAGTGTGGTACATACATCTTGGTGTGCATTTCTGATTATTTCCCTGGGAATAACTGAGTTGAAAGATATGACTGTTTGAACTAATTACCACGTCGCCCTCTAAGTGGGATGTGCTGGGTAGGGTACAGCACAAATCTGATCACACCGAACCCTTTGGCTGGTTTCCTGGATAAAGGATGGGGAGATGCCAGCTGGGGCTCAGGCTCTGCGGACCCCTTCACTTGTGCGTGGAGGACCAGGTGCCTGGGCCCTTGGCCTTGCTGGCTGTCCCCACCGGGACCCTCCCTTCCAGTGCAGTCAGAACCCTCCTCCTGCCCAGGGCCTGCCCCACCCTCACTGTTGCCAAAATCGCACCCACCTGAAGTTGCTCCTTCTGGACATGCGTCCCACCGGAATGGCTCTTTTCTGCACGCCTGCACTTGGTCAGTACCATCCTTGTGACACTTTAATTCCGTTGTATGTGAAACTCAGATGAGTGTTTCCTTGGGGGCAGAGCCACGCCCTGCGCATTCTTTCTGTCCGTCTTTCTTGTCCGCGCTTTCTGGCTGGGAACGGCGGCTCCTCAGTGGCAGGGTTCCGGTCCACCTTCAGAGACCCTGTTACACCTGCTGACTCTGGCCCTGGCTGCCTCGCAAGTCCCTTCCCAGGAGTTCTGATGCGCTCTTCCGTTGCTGCTCCAGAATGGAGCCGACATTTGTTGAGAGCCTGCTGTATGCCAGGTCCTGTCGGAGGGCGTTAGCTCCCTGATCTCATTTCTTTTTTAACTTTTCACTTTCCCAAAGTATGATTTAAGCAGCCTACACCACTCCCATGTAAAGTGTTCAAACCCATGGAACCACCTCATCGAGATGCTGTCCATTCCTGTCACCCTAAAGTGTCCTGCTGCTCCTTTGGGGTCTCTCCTTTTCCCCAACTCTCTGTCCCTAGACAACCAGCGATCTGCTTTCTGCCGCTGATTTTATTTGCTGGAGTTTTCTATAGATGAAATCCTGTGGTACGGAGTCTTTTGGGTCTGGCTTTTCCCGCTCAGCTGACTGACTTTGCGATTCGTTGTTCATGCTGTTGGGTGTGTCAGTGGTTCATTCCCGTTGTGCCTCTGACTAGTCGTCTCATGTACGGATTTATCAGTGTGTTTTTCCATTCACCTGTTGACGGACATCTGGGTCATTTCCAGTTGGAGCTGTGACAACTTAAGTTGCTGTGAGCATTCGTCTTCGTGTGGCTTCTTAAGTCCTAGCACCCATTCCTTTCTTGCAGGAGAGGAAACAGACCCTCTGAGAGGTTAAGTAACTTTTCTAAAGATGCAGTGCTTGGAAGTGGCTGGGAAGAATTGGAACCTAAGTCTCTTGGGCATCCAAGCTCTTGTGCCTCATAAACCGCCAGGTGCCAGACAAACAGGCGTTAACACCAGGCAGAGCGTACTGACTAGAAAGCTTGTGTTGTCACGTAGAGGGGCCCCAGACCCCTCCTCCCTGTGCAGTGTGGGCCTTTGGGGATTTTTAAGGAGCATGCAATGTGCTTATTGTTGTAGAGACGGTGCTCATCTGACTTGAACAAATGACGAGCTGGGGCGAGGGTGTCAGCCCACGTCCACCTGCTAGCTTAGGCAGGAAGGGGACCACCTGCACTTTTACCAAAGTCCAGGTTTTATTTGTCCCCTGCTTCTAGAGCGCGGTGCTGCTGTGGCTGATACTGGAGGACGCAGCCTCGCTGGTGGGGCTGGTGGGGCTGGTGGGGCTGGTGGGGGCGGAAAGCAGCCGGGAAGTCACAGTGAAGCAGGGAAGCTGCCCCAGATCTCAGTTCCGGGTGATCTGATTGGGCCTTAAATTTTCAACTAATTCTGGTCACCAAGGGGTGAACCTGCCCTTTGGTGGGTTTCATCACAAACGGGGGCCCATAAAACATCACAATTTCTACAGAATGGTGCCTCATTATCCCTTTGATGCGTGCATTTTGCCAGCTTCTCTGTGCCGGGTGCTCTCACACGGCTGGAGGTCTACCTGTGTTGACACAGAAAACAAACTTACGGTTACCAGCTGGGGGAAGGAGGGGGAGGGATAAATTAGGAGTTCAGGCAGATACACACTACTATATACAGCAGAGAGAAACAACAGGGTCCTACTGGATAGCACAGGGAACTCTATTCAATATCTTGTAAATAACCTATAATGAAAAAGAATCTGGAAAGGAATATATACATATGTATAACTGAATCACTATGCTGTACACCAGAAATTGACACAACATTGTAAATCGACTGTATTTCAGTTAAAAAAAAAAAAGGGAAGCTACTGGCGTCAGGTCCGTGAGAATCCACTGTGCTTTTTGTGTGTTTGGTGTGGGGACAGTGGGCACAGTCAGTGACCTGTCTGATGAAGTTAGTACCCGAGGCATGATCTTTGCTTGACCTGTCTGGTCCTCCACCGTCCAGTACAGGAGCTACTTAAATACAGTCATTGATTACAACTGAGTAAAATGAAAAATGCAGTTCCTCTGTCACCCTGGCCACACTTCACGAGGGGCCAGAGGCTACCCTATTGGACAGCGCAGGCGGAGAACCCAGAATCACAGGAGATGCTGTTCTAGTTGGCTTTTGAGGGAGGAAACTTGGTTCCAGGTGTGACTCTGCATCTCTCGTGCAGGTGGATGTAGTATTTTTATTATGAAAGTTTGCCCTGGGCTTCACTGGGAACCCTAGGATGACCGTTCATTGATTCCACAAATACTTACTGAATGTCGACCAGAGCCAGAGGTGGTGTGCTGAGGACACACCGGTGAACCAGACGGGGGCTCCCACTGTCATGTTGTCCTAGGCAGCTCGCCTGCCGTCACGGAATGTTCCAGACTGGGCGGTGTAAACCACAGGTATTTATTGTCTTACGGATCTGGAGGCGGAAAGTCCGAGCTCAGGGGGCCAACATGATGGGTTTGTGCTGAGAGGGCTCTTCCTGGCTTGCAGACGGCCGCCTTCCTGCCGTGTCTCCACGTGTCTGACAGAAAGTGACCCCTGCCCTGTCTCTTCCATAAGGACATTAACCTCAGAGTAGTTACTTCCTTACTCCAAATGCAGTCACGCTGGGGGTTGGGGCCTCCACATGCGAATTTTGAAGGGACACAGTGCGACCCACAGCACTGGTCTAGCCCATGAGTCCGCATTGCTTCAACAGCTTTTACAGGTGAAGAACCAAGTGATTGTAGTTCTCGATGCTAGCGTGCTGGTGACAGAGGGGATGTGGTGGCCCATAGTCTTGTTGGAAGTGT